TGTTATTGCGATACGTATGATGAATTCACTTGCGATCGTTTTCCTCCCCTTTGTGAATATCCCTCTTGTTCCTCTTATATGTTCTATGACCTTGAACTTCTGTTTTTGAAAATGAATACTCATAATTGCATTGATGGATGCTGTTTTGGAAAGGCAATATTCCTATCGTGCTGGTGATTTCTTGTGTGAATATTTTTTCCGATTTCATCTTATCATGTTTTAATCGTGTTCTGGAGCTATTTTGGAAATAAATTAAATTATTTCCTTTTTGTTTTGAATACCTCTTTGATCATGTCTAAAACATGTCTTGTCATATCTTTGTTGGTTATTTGTCATGTCAGTTTGTGTTTTTGGAAAGAAAAATGACCATGACCGAGATTCTCTGTTGTATGCAAATGAATTCATGATCAAATTTTGATGGTGATGACTGTTACACCCTAATTTTGACCTTGAATCGTCAAACCCTACATATCATATCATTTTCATCATTTGTGCATCATATCCATTATTCAGATCATCTAACCATTATGCCTCCAGAGTCTGTACCTTTTATTTTTGTGTTGTCTAAACTGGAGTTTTGCAAGATTAAATCAAGGATCATACAAGGTTATCAAGCCAAGTACGGGTGCAGTCTTGGTTTGAAATTCAACGGAAGTTTGACCTAATCTTGGTCAAACAAATGTTTTGCTTCAGTACCAGGTTATTAGGATATGGAAAATATTTTGAATTTAGGCATTTGGTTCTCAGCAAGCCATTTGTGTACACGCAAGGAGGAGATTAGGGTTTCTCAGCCTTTGTGTTTAAGATGAGTAAGTGTCGTTCATTTGAGTTTCATTTGAGGCTAGCAGGTTTAATTATCAAGTTGTCGAGTTGTGACAAAGGCAGTTTGTTGAAAGGTGGATGATCATCAGGGCAAGTGTGGATTGAATTCAAGTACTTGTGTTTGAAGAACAAGATCAGGGTTTTGTGTAAAACTCGGGTTTATTTGATGAAGTCAAGTTATAAGAACCATCAAAATTCAAGGCATTCAGCCAGTACTTTGTGCCCGAATTATGTGGTTCGTGCTCCTGTCATGGATGACTTCAAGCTTTCTATCCAATCTAAGACCACTTCAAGATGGAATCAGGATGTGAGTTTAAAATGTTGAAATTTGATTTTGAGGAGGCTTTGTTGGATCAAGTCATGAGTGTCATGGTTTGGTCCAAATTGCAATTATATTCAAAATCCATTCATCCTCCAAAATCCATTTTCAAAAATCCATGTTTGAAGAACCATTTATTTTCTTATCAAACTTTCACTATCCCATCCATCTCCAATTTCAATCTCGATTCTATTTTGTTTCAATTCAAATTTCAATTCTATTTTCAAATCAAGTTCAATTTCCATTTCAAATTTCCTTTACCAAATTTCGATTTATATTTATTAAGTTCAAATTTCATATCAAACTCGAGTTCGATTCAATAATTCAAATTTCAATGTCAAAATTCCATGTTTTAAGCTCATCCAAGTTCATTCCTTTTTTTTCTCTCAATTCATGTTTTATTCCATTTTCAATTTAATTTCAAGTGTCAATTTCAAGTTTCATTTCTAATCAATTTTTTTTTATTCCAATTTATCTCAAATTCAAATTCATTTCAATTTCACTTTAAATTCAAGTTCATCATTCTAATCTATAATTCCATGGCAAGTCAAAATGTTCAAGTGTAAGTTCAAATCAAAGTTACATTTTCCTTTAAATTGCCAAGTTTAAGATTTCATTCCATTCAAGATTTCAAATTCAAGTCACAAATTTTATAACACACTCAATTCCACCTCATAACTAAGCCCATTGAGATACTCATACAAAAAGTTCCATACATTAATTACAAGAAAATATGTTTTTTATTACCAAAAAAAAAGAGAAAAATAAGAAATGAAGATCCCACATGAATTTTATGCAATGCTATAAACCAATTATCCATGTCTCTCAAACCATTTTCAATAGGTACCACAATCATTTATTGAACAAAATGACAAAAAAATTTCTAGCCAAATGCACATCAGCTCAAAATGTATTATGCTTGCTATTCCAAACAAAACCATGTTCCCACGGACAGCTACACAAAAACGTATGACCTCCCACTAAACCTGTACAAGCCGCCCAATGATACAACAAACCACAACTTGTACAATCCTGCACCATCTGTGATAAAAGAAAACAAACAAACCTACAGCCTGTCATTGAGAGAGGCATAACCACAACAACAAGGCAAAAAAACTTGTACTATGAAACCTAGAGATGAAGTTTGTGTTTGTTTTTAAACGAAAAAGAAAAAAAGAGAGAAGCAGAAATAAAAAGGGGGAGAAGGGCCATAACAAGAAAGAGAGGAAAAACCTCTGCAGCGAAAATTGCAGAAATAAGAGAAAAACCTTTTTTTGAAACACACCTCTTGAACATAGCTTCATCTCAAACAAAAAAACCTCGATTCACCTTGTTACCTGATGCACACTCCTTCTTCCATCACACATCATGACAAGCTCCCCGTTTTACTCTGCAAAATGAACAACCCAAATGCGGACCACCCTTCATGTATAAGACACACAACCATATGACTCACTCTCAAATAAAATCCAAATATTGACTAAGGCATCCTTTCTCGTAGTAATGTTTCTTAGGATGATTTTCTGCATTTTTGTTATGGCATATCACCACATCTAATAACGCAACTTCGATATTCATCGCCATATCCATGAACTTTGTTATGCTGCTGGAAACACATTGAGAGATAACAAATGGCTTGAGCTGCTACTAGCCTTGTGAGGAGGTGCGGAACAACTCATAGCAGCAATGAAAAATTTTCATAATCCGCTAGCAGCCTCTACAACAGCTCGGTAGCGCTCACGTCTCGAATTTGCAGCAGTGCCCTCATCGATACCACAACCCTACAACAGCTCGGTTAAAGCCATCAACCTTGGGTGTTTAGAAACAATAGCAATGTCATTACCACCATCTTGCAAAACTATGAACAACCTTGTCACGATACTACATACATACATAACCATAAGTTTCACATCACATAAACTTTTTCAACACACACTCAACCAATTATAACAACAACCTGAAACCATTCACACCTAGTCCTGCTGTTCACCCCCAGGGAAAAATTTCTATCCTCTATAGCTGCTGATCAAAAGCCTCATGTGGATATTGCAAATGGTAATTCCAATGCTGTTTCAAACGACGTAAATGCTAAAAGTCGCACTGCTACTTTTGGCTATCAGGATCCTAGATTTGGTTTTGATGGAGCTTGCTCACCTGTCCCATGGCTTGATGCCCTAGTATTTTCAGATGGGAAGCCAAGACCTGTAACTAGCACTGCAATCACATCCTCAATACCAAATGACAACAATGGTACTGCTTCAAGGAACCAAACTTACTGCCCCAATTCTCAATATATGGGCTTGCACCATCCTAGACCAATGCTTGCTGGAGCCAACCCTGGGTTCATAACAAGTTATATGGTCAGTATAGCAATGCAGTTAGTGTTGGTGTAAGCCCTAGAGGCCAATATTTTTTGGTACTTGTATCGGATTATTCGTTTAATAATAAAAGGCATTTCTTTATTATGTTTGTCTTTCAGAATAATAAAGTCCCTAGAATAGTTAGTCTGTTTAATGAAATGTTAAGTGTGACTTAATCATGAGATCCCATTAAACATAAAGACATTATTCTTAAAATATCAGTAGTCAAGCTTTATTGCAAAGTGGGATAACATTAAAAGCATTGAGACTATTATGAAGATAGACTGATGATCACATCTCATGGATCATGGATAAAGAGTTATCAAGTCTTGACATAGGTATAAATATTAGGAGTAATATTTATACCGGATTGACCCGCTATGAGAATACTACATAGTATGTTATGCAAAGTGTCATAAGTTATTCTCATGGTGATAATGGTGTATTACCACCCTTCGACCTGAAACCACTATGGACCCTAGATGTAGAGTCGGGTGCTTTATTGCTGATCAAACATTATCCGTAACTGGATGATCATAAAGACAGTTGATGGGCACTCCACGAAGCATGCTGAGGGACATGAGTGTCCTAGATGGAATTTGCCAATCCTGCATAACAGGAGAAATGTCTAAGGGCCCAATATTGAACTGGACAAGGATGACACAGTGTATGCCTTGTGTTCAATATAGACATAGGGGCAAAAGGGTAATTGTACAAACATATATTATCACGAAAAAGGTTTTGTCAGATCACATGACATTTTCGTGACTTGGGTAGCAGTGATGTGTTGCTAGATACCGCTTACTGTTTATTATGTTAAATATATATAATTTAATATAATTACCAACGTTACGAAATCCTACAGGGTCACACACATAAGGACAGTTTGATGAGAGATAGAGAAATCAAAAAGGAACACCGTAAGGTACGGTGCACTTAAGTGAAAAAATATAAATTCGGATAATATAATAATAATTATTGTTATTTTATAATGGTTATAAAATAATAATAAAATAAATATATTTATTATAATAATAGTTATTATAATAATATATAATATTATTATGGATCATGTGAATTGGGTTTTAGCCCGCATCCCACAAGAGAGTCTATAAAAGGAACCCTTGTGATGAAGCTTTCACTTGATGCAATTTCGTTTTGATTCTCTTTTCTCACTCAAATAATTCCGTTCGTAAGCAGCTAGCACTGTGACCGGAAGCTGTTCGTGTGGACTGAGTAGAGGCGTTGCACTTCATCAACGCTTGTGATCGCTGCATCAAAGATCTGAATCGCCACAAAGAGGTAACGATTCTATCACTGACCATGCTCATTCGTAAGGATCACTAAAGGAAATTTTTGTTTTCCGCTGCGTTTAGATCGCAATTTTCCTTCAGTTAGGTCCGGTATGGGTTATATAGCACATGAGTATGATTCTTGTACAAATGGCCAAGCTTGGCTTGTTGTTGACAATAAACACAAAAACAAGTTGGCAGTAAGAAATGGTGAAGTTATTTGGTTTAGGATCTGAACCAGTGATTGGTATTTTGAATCCTTCAAAGAAGAGAGAGTATAGAGTTACCAATAGCCACCAAGAGGGCAAGTGTCATCTATATGTTGTCGTCTTCAACTTTATAAACTCCCGTTACGTCAATGTTTTCGCCATTGTTGGTAGCAAACGGGTTACTATTTATCATTGCCTTGAAGGAAGAATTATTTCTGTATTGCAGTCTCATGTAAAGGAAGATAAAGATGAATCTTTTTACATAGTAAGTTGGACTTGTAATCCTAATAGTTCTCCATATGTTGTAGATGGTGGAACCACTGGTGTAATTCGGGTCATTGGTGCTGGCAATAAGAAGATGCATAAGAGTTTAGCTGGCCATGGGGACTCCATAAAGGAAATCAAGACCCCAAACTTTGAGGCCATTACTGGTAATATCTGCCGACAAAGATGAATTTGTTCGGTTATGGAATGTTCACACTGGAGTATGCATCTAGATATCTTCTGGTGCAGATATATAACCTATTTTTCACAACAAAAGAAACACTAGCAGAGGACACCATGCGCATCGGATTCGAAAAATGCTTGTGGCAATATCCTATAACCTCAACTCAGCAGCGAGTAGAACACATCACTCATAGATTCTTCAAAAAAAAAATTGAGTTCTTGAACATCAATAGTAGCACACCGTTCTTATTAAAACGTGTGATGAAGGAAGGTCTTGAACGATAGTAACATCATCTCTTCAATCCAAACTTCAGACGATAACAGCAACCACATAACAATAAACAAATCCTTTTCACAAACAATTAGTGTGCACATTAGATTGTTTGACTTTGGGTTTGTTTTATGTGTTTTCTCGTATGACGTTCGTACTCAAATTTTAATTTGGACTCTAGATTTGTTCATAATGTTTGTTCTGGTAATGTTTGTGTTCTGGCCTGGGCCTCGACTTGACCGAGCAGGCCCAGCCCAGTAATATGTAGTAGGCCCAATCTGGCTTGGGCTACTGCCGTCGAGCACAAGGTCCCCCGTCGAGCAAAGAATACTCTCCGCAGGCAGGACCTTCTCTCCCGGTCGAGCAGAACAAACGTGTCCTTCACGCGTTTTCCACATGCTCCTCTCCGCGGGACACGTCATCCACCAATAGCCCACCTCTGAAAGAGCATGTCAACCTACTTTCCGAAGTTCACGGAGCAGTTGAACTAGGGCAAAGACCACGTTCTGGTCTTCACTACGCCACGTAAGCCCTAACAGTCACTTGGGTTGGGCCTGGCCATCCAACCCAACTCAAATGACCGTTGGCCCTGCGCTGGGGTCTCTCTATAAATACCCTTTTCTCCAAGAGGGTCAAGTATTCTCTTTTTACCCTTTTTCTGTATTTGCTGTCACTCTGTTCAAACACTTACTTTGGCATCAGAGTGCCTTGCAGGTACACCCCCATCTCCTTTCCTCAACACCGGTGAGCAGGCAGCAGATCAACAGCGTATGGCAAGTCCTTGGTCCCCTTCTGATCAGGTCAGATCAGTGGCCCCGTCTGTGGGGAACATAAAACTTCCCCGTTCCTCCGAGCAGAGAACCAAAGTTTCATCAACATTCCGTGATCATGGCTAGCACACACCACGACGATGCCGGTCACGACCTCACCCTCGCTCCCGCCGCAAACGGCGGCAAGCAAACGGAAGCATCCTAACCTCCGGAGACCAACGAGAGGGACGGCCAGACTGCCTCTCCATCATCCGCGGAAGCTGCGCACCAGGCTGTTCTTCGACCACGGAGGTCGACAGCGTTCTAGCCCATCCCTGTACCGGCCGGAGCAGACCCGACAGTGACCGCCCTCTTTGCGGCCATCAACCAAATGAATTAGCTATTGTTCCAACAAAACATACGAATTGGCGCACTAGAGCACGAGGTATCATTGAGGTCCCCTCCGCGGGAAGACCAAAACGGAAATTCGAGGAGTCCATCCCCTAGTCCCAGGAATCGTCGACCCCGGCTAGAGAGGTCTCAACCCGAAATAGTGCGGGAGCAGACCAGGTCGCCAAGGAGACAAGTCCGGGAGCAACGGCCAGCCAGGGGGGATCCCCTGACCAGACCTCTGAGGGTCAAAGCTCCGGTCAGGAGGCCGAGGATGCGAAATCCAGCGCCTCCGCCACCAGGGCCATCACCCCCTCAGTCGCCAACTCTCAGCGACGAGGACGACTACAGGACCCCCTTGTCCCGAGAGATCATGGCGGCTTCCATCCCCCACGGGATGGAGAAACCCCTAGCACTCTCGACGTATGACGGCACCTCCGACCCAGACGACCACCTAGAAGACATCGAGGCCATGCTCGACTACCGAAATGTCTGAGGAGCTATCAAATGCAGACTCTTCCCGACAACACTGAGGAAAGGTGCCATGACATGGTACAAAAGTCTGGAGCCAGAATCGGTCACGTCGTGGAGGATCCTGAAGGATCTCTTTTCAAGACACTTCACAACATCCCAGCGTCATCTGAAGATAGAGGCCACGATGGGCGCCATAATCCAGGCCCCCAACGAACCCCTTCGGAAGTACATCGAAAGGTTCACACGAGAGGCAGCGCAGGTAACAACGTCGGACGAGATGAAACGTTACCTAATGGAGCAAGGCCTGCGAAGAGACTCCAAATTCTACGAAGTTGTGGCCATACACCGACCAGCCTCTCTGCAAGACTTCCTCGACAGGGCCGCGTATTACATTCGGTTCGAAGAGACTCAAGCGGCCAACTCTGCCCGCGACACTCGAGACCGAGAGACCCCCCCGCGGGTCCCAAGAGGATGGAGCCTCGAGCCACCGGCGCAGAGCAGAGCGATGACGGGAGGACCTCCCTTGCGAGCCCCGCGAGCAACGCGGTCCTGCCGGCCGATTCACAGAGTATACAACTCTAGTGGCTTCCCACGAACGCATATTGACCGAGTGCGCCAAAAAGGAGTTTGTCCAGGCAGGTGTCCGCTTCCCCAGGCCGACACCCCCTAAGCCCAACATGGACAAGTCGAAGTTTTTCCGCTTCCACAAAAGCCACGGGCATGTTACAGAAGACTGCATCCACCTCAAGGACGCGATCGAAATCTTGATCAAGGATGGGCACCTGAAAAGATACACCCGGGGAGGAGAAGCCCCGCGGCAAGACGCTCCCGAGGCCAAGAGAGTCGAAGACCTCCCCTCTCCTGACGGTGACAACGGTCTATAGGTTTCCCTCAACGTCAGCCGGCCTGAGGATTGGTTCGCGCTCAAAAAATTTGGCCTCCCCGCCGAGCCTGATCTGCCCGACGAGCCTGTACGCCCCACCAGCCGATAGGAGTATTTTCCGAAGGCCATGGTCATCTCTGGTGGATCCCCGAGGAACCTATCTGTGGGATCGGTAAAAAGGAAGTTCGAGGAACTCATCACCAGCAACTCCGACAAAATGAGCACCCTTGACAAGTTTCATGGCCGATCCAACCCGATCACTTTCTACCTCGAGGAGCTTTTTGGGGGCTCCCCCAAATCAAACATCCCCCTCCTGATATGAGCACATATGGCAAACTTCAACGTCATACGCATCCTGGTCGACGGAGGAAGCTCGGTGGACATCATGTACACACACCTTTTCACAACCCTCCAACTTGACGAGTCCAACATGTCCCCATACGTGGGCTCTGACCTCCAGGGGTTCAACAGGACGACAACAAGGCCGTGGGGGTACGTGGAGTTAAAGGTTACCTTCGAGGAAAAAGAAACGGCCAGGGAGATCAATGTCCGCTTCCTGGTCATTAAATGCTCGTCCCTCTACAACTGTATCCTGGGCAGGACAATGATGGGCGAGCTCAACGCGGTGCCCTCCACCGTCCACCTAAAAATGAAGCACTACACAAGGCGAGGGGCCGTTGTCACCCTAAACGACATTGAGGCTGCCCGAAGATGCTTCGAGGCCACGCTGAGAGGCCTAAGCACGATCGCCCAAACAACCAAAAAAGCAGCGCCCACCACTACTCTGAAGAGCGAACCCAAGGACCTCGTCGGCTCGGTAGACCTCGACAGCCACTTCACCGAAGAGTCCGACCGTGAAGACGAAGCCAGCGACATCAACGCCATAGGGGATATCAACTGTTGGATGACACCTTTGCACGCCTACCTCAGCGCAGGTCGCCTCCCCGCCGACCCCAAAGAGGCCAGCACAATCAAATGATGATCCTGCTCGTACGTCCTTCTTGAGGACAAATTGTATCATAGAGGCTTCGTGGTTTCCCTCATCAAATGCATCGACAACTCTCAAGCTGCTGCCGTTCTAGAAGAGATCCACGAGGGCATCAACACGCAGCACCTCGGGGGACGGTCCCTGGTGAGAAAGTCCCTGCGAGAAGGATTCTACTGGCCGTCAATGCAAGCGGACGCACGAGAGCACGTCAAGAAATGCGACAGATGTCAGCGACACAGAGACATGCACCTCACCCCACCGGGCGAGCTCAAATCCCTCTCTTCCCCTTAGCTGTTCGCCTGGTGGGGGGTGGATATCCTCGATCCCTTCACCTTAGGGTCATATCAGAACAAGTACCTGATCGTGGGCGTCGACTACTTCACCAAATGGATCGAGGCCGAAGCCCTTTCCAAAATCACCACCAACAACATACTATGATTCTACAAAAGGAATATCCTCGCAAGATTCGGTGTCCCACTCGCCATTGTCACCGACAAAGACACGCAGTTCACCGATAAAAACTTCCGGGACTTCGTCACCAAACTCGGGACCAAGCATCACTTTACCTTGGTCGAGCATCCTCAGACAAACGGCCAAGCCGAGTCCGCGAACAGAGTGATACTCAGAGGATTAAAGCGAAGGCTCGGTGACGCCAAGAGAGCATGGGTCGAGGAACTCCACAGCATCCTATGGGTGTACCGAACAACACCCCACTCGACCACGGGGGAAACACTATTCCGCCTCACGTACGGAATCGAGGCAGTGATCTCGGTCGAGATCCGAGAACCGTCCAGACGGACTGAGGCTCCCCTCGAAGCCGAAGCCAACAATGAAGCCTCCGAGAAGAGCTCGACCTAGTCGAAGAAATTAGGTTCGGGGCGGCTCTTCGAGAAGCCAGGCTGAAATAACAGGGCACTTCGCTACGACAGCAGAGTCCTGAAACGCGAGTTTCAGATCGGCAACTTAGTCCTGCAAAAAAACCAGAAGGACTCTCACGAGGGTAAACTAGCCGCGAATTGGGAAGGCCCATGTCGTGTTCGCAATAAGACGGAGCATGGGGCCTACTACCTTGAAAACCTACACGGGGATCAACTAACTCGACCATGGAACGCTGAGAAGCTGAAAAGGTACTACAGTTAAGCACTACTCGCGGCACCCACGGGGGGGGGGGAGATATGGTACCACTGCACCTCCTCGCGTCTCCTAGAGACCAACAGAATAGCAAGCCCTACCTTTGTGTGCGCGGGTAGAA